TCTATCTATCTATCTATCTATCTATCTATCTATCTATCTATCTATCTATCTATCTGTCTGTCTATCTATCTGTCCATGCATACGTCTATGTGCTTAAGTAGGCCTCTGCAAATGCATGTAATGTCAACAAACTCAGTTGTAAAATGAAACACTAGCTCTATATCATTATGAACTCGTTTTCACAGGATTACTTGACGCCAACAACAGCAGAAACAGCAGAAACAGCAGAAACAGCAAATTTAAGCTTCAACATAAACGATCGGACAAGTAACAGCCCAAAAAGCAAGAACAAAGTCAACAGCAGCAGCGACGGGAGTCAGGCTACCCTGACCAGTAGAACGCAAACAACAGCTACATCAGCAACTAACAGGAACACTTACTAGCTGGCAAATACAGACACGAAGACAGAATCAAGAACAGCTGGAGCATCAAGAGCGAGGATAACAATTCAGAGAAGGATAAGAACAGCTGCTACGATACAAAATACCGCCACGAACCCAGATCACTGACTGATATCACAGAATAAAGAAAAACGACAGTCCAATAACAATAATAACAGCTACAAAAACACAATAAAGAAACGTCCCAACGAAAATAGAGACGAAGAATAACCAGAAATAATATCAACAACAACAACAACAACAACAACAACAACAACAACAACAACAACAACAACAACAACAACAACAATAACAACAAAAACAGCAGCAGCAATAACACAAAACAGCAACAGCAAAAAAACAAGAGCTACATAATAACAAAAACAACAACAACAACAACGACGACGACGACGACGACAACAATAGCAACAGCAACAAAACAACAACAACAACAACAACAACAACAACAGCAACAACACCATCACCACCAACACCACCACCAACACCACCAACACCACCACCACCACCACCAACAACAACAACAACAACAACAACAACGACAGCGCCATCATGGACAAAGACGCCCTCAACGGACGCGATGAGATGAATAACCTCCTCTCTGCCAACAACGACCACCACCACAACAAACCGCGCTTCGAGAAAGACGATTGGCTCTCTCCGTCTGACGACAGGGGGCCGCCATCTTGCTTCGAGAGCTTCCTGGAGGCGGAGCTTCGTGACGTCACTTCCTTGAGCTTCTGGCAGGCGTGTGTGGCAGAGTTTGTGGGCGTGTTCCTGCTCTGTTTCTACACCATCACTGTAGGGCTGGCCTTTGAGGGGGACCCGAACCCCAGCCTCTTACAGGTAATGATGATGATGATGATGATGATGATGATGATGATGATGATGATGATGATGATGATGATGATGATGATGATGATGATGATGATGATAATGATAATGATAATGAT